AAAAAAAATCTTCTATGTTACAAATTGACCAATTCATTCTTTATGTGGCACAGTTTTCTATCATATTGAATCAGAGAACTGGGGATAGGGTATAAGCCCCAAAATTCCCAGGACATCATTTTTAAAAGTGGGAAACTTCCAAATTACTACCTTCTCATTAACCCTACAATGCACATGGGGAAAAAATAAGACAAAATCCTGACATCTATGACATTGTCCCATTATCAACCTATAAACCTTGTGTAAATGTTTCCTCTGGATTCTGATTGTTAAAAATAAACCCTCTGCTATACACTCTTGGTGCCTTTCTTCGTATTTCTAAATAATCAGAAGTTTTGGACTTAACTCCCAAATAATCAGGGGTAAATGCAAAGCAGCCCAATTCCTCTTCATCAAAATCATGTTTCAGATCCAACACCTAGAAAACAATTCTTGCGAGCTGCAGCAACTGCTCTGCCTGAAAGAAGAGGAGAGTCAGCAGAATGTAGACAACACGAAGGATGCAGAACAGCTGGAAAGTATCTCTGAGTCCCAAATGGAAGCCCCGCAGAGGGAGAAAGCCGAGCTGGTTCAGAAAGTTCAGAGCACTGAAGAAAACATCAAATATATCAGCCAAGAAAAAGAGCATCTGAGAACAGAAATGGAGGTTCTTCAAACCGAGAAGGATAACATGATTCAAACTGTCCACCATCTGAGTGTGACTATAGCGAGGCTTGTTCCAGTGGTAAGAATTCATTCACATTCATTCATTCATTCAATTTATATGCCGCCATCTTGTTTCAAAGTAAATTAATTTGCTGCCACCTTTGAGGGAAGTCCTTTTTATTGGAATAGCATTTTATTTAAATGTGGTGGTCAACTTGATTGCATGTGACTATTATTATTTTGTTGTTGTTAAAGAATTTGGAACTGCAGCAAGAACTGAAGGAGGCTAATAATTCTCTCAGAGAACATAAGGAAATGGTAGAAGAACTAAAAGAAAAAATTGTATCTACAGATTTGTATCTACAGACTTTGAAAATTCATGAGGAGCTGAAGAAAAAGGTAAGAAAGATGCAATTTTTAAATGTTTTAATACTAAAGAGTGTCTCTTGTTTTAAACTCCCCTTCCCTGGTCAATATTTTTTATTTAAACTAAAGGAATTGGTGGAATCACAATTTCATGAACTTAATATTTCTTTGTTTTATACATTTATGTCCTGAATAATTGTATCTCATGACATAATCTCTCTCCTTTCCTCTCTCTCTCCCCCTCTACACACACACACACACACACACACACACACACACACACACACACACACTAAGAGTGAGGATAGTCAACTTGAACTGGAAAAATTGATGTATGTAAAATCACAAGAAGATGAGGTAAATATTCAGAAGAATTTGCTTCTTGAGAAACAGCAGATGTTTCAGAAATTTGAACAAGAGATTAAAGAAGAAACAAAGCTTTGAGACCTAGCGCCATGCAACAGGGTGAGCTGCTGTTATTGCCCCCTGTAACTGACTACCTAGCAGTTCTAAAGCATGCAAATGCAAGTAGATAAATAGGTACCACTTTGATGGGAAAGTAACACATTCTATGTACTTCAGCATATGATCATGCTGATCACATGGCCACGGAAGTGTCTTCATACAACGTTGGCTTCCTCAGCTAAGAAACAAAGATGAGCACCGCCCTCTAGAATCAGACCTGATTGGAGAAGGGAAGCCTTGAGCTTTATATACCGTACTAGCCATTTCTATAACAACAAACCTATCTAATCAACAAAACCCAAAATCGAAGTTTCATATTTTTTTCCATTTCAAGCACAAAAATCCAAAAGTGGCTTCCAAATAGAAGCAAAATTAAGTGTATTCATTTATTTAATCAAAGCAGTCAATTTAGCCATCCCTGCTAACACCATCCATTTTTTGCAACCATTCGTCCGTTGCAGGAATCAAAAATGTCTTTCCATTTTTAGAGTTCTATTAAGTATCCTATTTAATTGGACATAATCTGCTCATATTGATAATAAGTCAGATAATAAGTCACCACTGAATATATATTCTCCTTTCCAGGATTCTGAAATGAATGTCAAACGAAAGACGCAAGACTGCTTTGAAATCTTGGAGACAAAAATATTCCGAATAATGGTAAATGCTATCACCATTTATTTCCCATTGATTGAATCTGCATTAAGTGGAGTTCTAACTTCTACCTTTTATCCTTCTTCTGCCTACTCTCACAACAAAGACTGAACTCCATTTCCAATTATACCCAATCTATCTATAACTTGTATATTATACCAGAAAACAGAGGAACATCCTTTTGCAATCCAGGAGGTCTTGATATAGAAAGATGAATTGTAAATCTAGTGGTTTCCTCAGAATAATTGCTACTCCAAGAACTCTTCTCTTGTGCTGCTGGTATCAGGGGTGTCTTCAGATTATGGTAAAAAAAACAACCCAACCACCTCACAATGGCACTGGTAACAGTGTGATTGAAACTCCATTTCTTTTTTGGAATATTGTACTTAAAAGATGGACAGTGTTGATTATGCAATTGTGGCTGCCATTTTGAGATTGTCATTTTTTAAAATCACACTCTGCAGATATCTTGCACAGCTACTTTTCCTCAGCTGTCTATGAATATATAATATATATTCTGCTAAGGGGGAGGATTAGAGCAAGGGGAGATCTAATGTTCAACAATGGGTACAGTAGCTTGTTCACATGAATGCAATTTAAAAAATGCACTCTGGTTGATCAAGACATGTTTCTTAATAGCACAAGATTGTGATCTTTTTGACTATGAAATTTTATTTTATTCCTGCTATGGAATAAAATAAAATTTCATAGTCAAAAAGATCACAATCTATGCCTTTAGTGGTTGTGAGAAAAACCACTGATTTTAAAAGATGAAAACCTTTGTTAATTTCAGCCTGTTTCCTTTTTATTTCAGGAGGCTCTGAAGAAATTTCCAGAGCTGGAAAAAAGATCTGAATATTTCATAAAAATCTCTCTTCAGATCAAGAAGCAGTTTGATAGCAAGAAAGCTGTAATAGCCCAGTGGCTTCCTGACATTTCTCCCCAGGAAGCCAATAACATCAAAAGGCTTCAAACAGAAGATGAGCGTATAAGTAACAGCCTCTACAACTCGTTGAACAAACTTCAGGTACTAGCTTTAAACAATGTTTCGTATCACATGCTAAACCAGGGGTCCCAAACTTGGTAACTTCTTGGTAGAATTCTGGGAGTTGAAGTCCACAAGTCTTAAAGTTGCCAAGTTTGGAGACCTCTGTGCTAAACTATTAAGTGCTTTGTTTAGTTTAGTTTTGTATGTACAGGTGGGCCATGACTTACAATTGTAATGGAGTCTGCCCATTCAGGTCATAAGTTGTGACCACCATAGAACAGGTGATCACACAAGTGACCCAATTTTACAACATTTTAGGCAGTTTGCCATTAAGTGAACCTGTAGTCATTAAGTGAACCCATTGTTCATTAATGACCACAAATTGGGAAAACTAGCATTAACTTCCAGGTTTGGGCAAAACCCAGAAGTTAATGCTAGTTTTCAGCATAAAATGTGATAAACCCAGTCATGTGACCACACAACACAGGAAATGACTGCGTGGTGGCCACGGCTGTCAGAACTTCACAACAAGGTTGTAAGTACCATTGGGTTTTGTCTGTGGTAACTTTGGTCACTAAGCGATCGGTGATTAGTCAAGGACTACCTGTATCTAAATCTATCCTTTGGGTTTAAACTATGATTCATGGCTTAGTGGACCTTGCAAACTCAGTTATGGCTTGATCAGTAAATTAAGTTAAATAAATTCCTAGATTAAAGTCACATGTGAATCTGTTAGTTTCTATTAGTTCTTTCGTACACTTTACATTACAGGTAATCCTCAACTTGCAACCACAATTATGCCCAACATTTCTGTTGCTAAGCAAGACAGTTGTTAAATGAGTTTTGTCCCATATTACGACCTTTCCTGCCATAGTCAGTGAATCACCACGGTTGTTAAGTTAGTATCACAGTTGTTAAGTGATAATGGCTTCTCCATTGACTTTGCTTGTCAGAAGGCCGTAAAAGGTGATTACATGACCCCGGGACTCTGTAACCAGCATAAATATGAGCTAGTTACCAAGGATCTTAATTTTGATCACAAGACCATGGGGATGCTGCAGTGGCCATAAATATATTAACAACTTTTAACAGTCAGTAAATGTAAATATGTTCAGGTTTTAAGGCAGATCTCTCTTGTATCAGAGCAGAGGTCTATCTAGCTCAACCTTCCCAGAATTCCCTAGCCAGCAACCCTTTGTTGGGAATTTGAGACAATGTCTATATATCCGGAGGGCACCCAGGTTGGGAAAGTTGATCCAGTCCACAATTCTGTTGTTTGTAGTCTATTGGTATCTTAGGAACAGCCAGTTCTGCACCTCAGGAACAAACACCACAAACTCTCTTCAACGATGGGCAACGTATGATTCAATAAGTGGGAAAAAGAACAGGCTGTTGCAGTTTTTAATAGGGGTGGTAGCCCACATTAAAGAAGACAGGTTTTGTGGCACCTTTGAAAGCTGAACAAACGTATTGTAAAGTTTAAGTTTAGTTACGGAGTAAAGCTAAAATGGTGTGTGTGCAGCTTATCCCAAGATAAATTACTAAACTCAACTAGTTTTTGAGCTCTTGTGTTCGGTTAGTAATAGCAATAGCACTTAAACTTGTATACTACTTCATAGTTCTTTTCAGCCCCTCTCTAAGCAGTTTACAGAATCAGCATATTGCCTCCAACAATCTGGGTCCTCATTTTACCCACCTCGGAAGGATGGAAGGCTGAGTCAACCTTGAGGAGGAGTTCCAGGATCGAATTCCTGCCTATGGGCAGAGTCAGCCTGTAATACTGCAGTTTAACCACTATACCACCACAGCTCTTAATTAACTTCTTCATCTCCAGCAGTACTTGTTTAGCTGCTTGTGCGACAAAAGAAAGGAATACTACACAAACGTCAGCAAGTACACAAGGGAGCTGCTTGATGAGCGAAAAAATCAACATGCACAGCGAATGCAAATTCAGGAACTCGGAAAGCCTCACTTGAAACAGCAGGGACCTGGATCGCAGCAGCCTGGTCTCTCTGAACTGATGCAGAGCTTGGATGGTCTCACTGAGGTAATGGTTTTCCAAAGATTGCCTGCTTGGGACTGGAGTTGGGGAAAGCAACATTGCCAGGACATTGCTACGTCTCCAAGCACCATTTCCAAACCCCCTCCCTCAACTAAACTACAGTTCAGAAGAATGAAATGGCCAAAATAACATGCATTTGGAAAATTTCACACACTCCCACAACATTTGGATATGGAAGCATCTTGACCATTGCATAACAGAACCTGAAATATTTGTCATCCTGTGTTGTGGGCTGTGATAATGACTTCCATCATTTGCTGATTTTTTTTAAAAAAACTATTTAATTAGAAAATGTACATTTGTTGGTTATACAACAATAAAAGCAATAACCCTGCAGCTCCCTGGCAACAGCAATCAGTTAAAGAAGCCCCTTGATGAGACCTATCCCACTCCAGATTCCCCAGGCCCATTGGCAAAGCCAAGGTCTTCAGAGCCTTGTGAAACAGGGTCAAAGTGGGGGCTAGTCTTATCTCTGCTGAGATGATGAGTTAATAGCAAAAGCAATAGCACTTAGACTTATATACCACTTTATAATGCTTTACAGCCCTCTCTCAGTAGTTTACAGAGTCAGCATATTTCCCCCAACAATTTGGCTCCTCATTTTATACCGACCTCGGAAGGATAGAAGGCTGAGTCAACCTTGAGCCTGATGTGATTCAAACTGCCAAATTGCAGGCAGCAGAAGTAGCCTGCAGTACTGAACTCTAACTACTGCGCCACCACGGCTCCGAGTTAAGGTCAGTCTTTAGAGCCATTTCCTGGAGACTTGTGTTCCAGAAGTCAATAGGCTACTAAGGCTGATGCCGCAAAGGTTCTGCCTCTGATCCACAATGATATTGTACAATGCCATTGAAAAGCCAAGGTCTTTCAGAAGTCAGTGAAGGACTAGAGAGCCACTGGCTTTTTTTTTCTGTTACCTTTCGCACCTGGATTCAAAAGGAAAAATACCTATGCTTCATGGAAGACAGGTTATTAACAAGTTAAAACTTTTTACCTTTGATGCCTATGGAGATTCTTAGTCCTCCGGGTCATGGTTGTCCCATGGGTGCTTTTTCAAGAGCTGAAGAAGTTCTTGCAAAACATATTCAAAGAAAAACCAGAAAGTCCAATTGCCTCTTGAAATAAAGCACCTTTGGGTTTTTATCTCGATGTAATAATAGATGCTGTCAATACTGCTTTTCTTTCCAAGAGAGCTCAGGGCAGTTTCTGAGAGAAGAATTAAAAAAAATGTAAATGAAACCATCATATAAAAAGTTGAACATTCTGTTTGACAAAAATAAATATTTACATAATTTGGGGGGGGGGAGGCTACTTTGTCAATTATATTCAAGATGGCACAGAAGAAGGAATACTAAACCAGAGTTAAGCATTTTTCCTAAAGGTACAGCATTTTTCAAAATCAGCCCTTGGCATGTCCAATTAAAACTTGCAAGAAGAAAATAATGTATCTATTGGTATTTCATTCCCACTATGATGGCTCTGTGGACAGGTGGGAAGATAAATCAGCTTAAACGTTTCTTTTCAGTGTGGTTAATTGAGCTAGAAGGGTTAATACTGTATCTGTGTTAAAAGGTTTCTGCATAAATTCTCTTCCCAGTTACCATGCTGCAAAAAATAAGTCATGATACATGTCTTGACAAACCAGATCATTTTTATGTATTTCTTGGCGCAGCAAATGTCAAAAGAAGTTTCTGAAATGGAAGAAGAACTCGGTAGCACAGAGGTTACGTTACAAGAGTTGGAACATAAGAACACTGAGGTGGAACAGTATTTGGAACGGTGCTCATATGTTGATTTCCAAGGCTTTGAGGCAACAACAAAGCAAAATATTGAAAAGTTTCAGTCCATTAATCAATTTCTACGGCCCAAAGCTCAGGTACGAGATGCAGATTTAAAAGGTGTAGCACAATATTATTGTTTTTGCCTTGTCAAGGGTGCGCTTGGAGATAATGCTGTACATGTAGTTGCGTGTTTCTTATAGTTTAATAATCCAAAGCAACTTGGATTATTGGACGTTGATCTAGTTTGCAGAAGGTGTGTTCTGGTGTAATTGGATGACTCTATGTAAGAGATAGCAATGTAACATACCTCCCTTAAGATTTATCGCTGCCTTTATATTACAGCCCTATTTTCAAGCTAGATCTGCGCTGGAAGCCATAAATGCCAACTACTGCAGAGAGATTGATGCTACTCTGAAAGCATGTAGAGAAGAAACAAAGGAACCGATTCTACAGTTAGATATGTTAGAAAAAGATCAAAAATCCTGTGGTGTTGCTAATACGTCACGAGAAGAAGAAAACCATAAGCTAAGATATCAACTGGAAGCAACCGAACAAGATACAAAGGTGTGTTTTTGTTAAACTCCTGTTTGACACCTCAGCCTGATGTCTCTTCATTTGTCTAATCTGATTAATGCTTAGTTCTTTTCTATTCAGCTTTTCCTGGTATGCCATTTATTAAATTTCTATTTAGTCTCTGCTTTCCCAAATATATGATGTTCCCAAATCCATTCTAGTTCTTAAATAGGTTTCCTGAGAGAATAAGTTTTATCCAACTTTTTTAGTTGAAAAGAACAGACATCAATGAGGCAGACTTTGACAAATCATGACATTTTGATTTAAAATAAATCTATAGGATGACGCTTATAAATCTGTGGTTGCAGGAAACATGATATTGGGTAATCTCTGCCATATAAAAATAAAGAGTGTTTTCCCAATCGATGCATGAAATGGCACCGGGTTACCTTTTATAAATGAGGAAGTACACTGTTGGGAATTAGTTTTGCTTATATTCGTCTTCCTTTGATGCTGCATCTCTTACTATTGTTTTTCTGATCGTTTTCACTGTTTTCAGGCCACACTTTTTTTTATAAAGAGCCCAGCATTCAAAATATTGGAATCATTGTGATCTTCAGAGCTTCAGATCCAATTAACTCTACATGTATCGGAGTTATCACCAATAACAGCTAAACGTTTTTTCCACCTTTGAAAATAAAATCTGGAAGTGGTGTTCCATTTTCTAATAACACACTTTCTTTTTCAAAGAATCTGCAGTTGAAAATCCAAGAACTAGAAAGCATAATAAATGAAGGAAGTAAGAATCTCCAGGAAAAAGAGAAAACAATAGCCATACTAGAAATGAAACTTAATGTGAAAGCTTCCAGGAGTGAAGTCATCAAGCTTCAAGCTGCATTAGAGGAAAAAGAAAATTGCTTAAGAAATGCATTAAGTGAGAGAGAAGCACTCAGGGTATTGTATGTATAAGTGACTTCTCATGTTGGGAGTAAAATATTTATTCATGGGATTCACACAAATGTCTTAGATCTTCACATTTTCTCTCTGCAATTCCTATATAAAACTTATGCAATGTTCTGGGCTGCTGGACACTGGAAGGCAAGTTTATACAAAGGAATTATCAGCTCACAATGTTATGCTTCCTCCCAGCCTTGCTTGTGGCTAAACATACTCCTCCTCAAAGAAAATGAAAGTGCTCTACAACTTTGGCCCATTCTCTGGTGTTCTCTAGTATTTTTAATGCAATTCAGTTATTTGTGGAATGAAACCATGGAAGGACAATTTCCTGCAGATCAGATAAGGCACCAACTGTTAGCACCACAGGGTGCTAACTCTGATCTCTTGCTGGATCCAAACCTCCATCTGAAAAGGGTCCTGACATTATTACTTTGATCTGAAGAGGTATGTAGCTCATTTTTACTAAAAGTCTATTATCTAATATGTAAATATGATTTCATTTTCTAAAGTGCTTATTGGGCACTTGGAAATATACAACTGTTGTTGTCTTCTCAAGAGATCATGTTTTTCTTTTTCTTACTAGGCCCTGGTGGATAAAGGTGTTGGATTATATAAGGAGGAAATTGAAGGCCTGAGAACTCAGCTTGTTAAAGCTGATATGGCAAAAATGAAACAATCCAAATTGTTTGATCGAGAGTAAGTTCCATTTCCTTGAAAAGGCAATTCTATAGAGCACAGATTCTGTCCTCATTTGGATATTTATCATCTGGACACTTGGTGCATTTTTCCGTATCTGAGAAAGCAAAAAAGCAATATTTCTTTAATATTTTGTCCTTTTATCTTACAAGAAATGCCTTCTTTGGATAACAGCTGATACCTTGGGCATTTCACAAAAGTATTTCTTAATTTCATTAAAAAGAGCATAAGAAGGATATAATTTTTTTTAGAAAAATGTAGTTAGGTATATGAAGTTGAGGGAAGTGCTAGGATGGTAATTATTTCCAGTATAATGTGTAGAATCTTCATAGGAACCTATGTTATTAGAAGTTAACAATGAATCATATAATCTTTTTATGCAAACATCC